GTATATTATATGGTCATTGTGCACTTCATAAATTAACTCTGATATTTTACCTAATGAATCAACGTGATATAAGAAACGAATATTATATGGCCCTTGTGTACTTAAGAATTGAACGTCAGTTTGGATGAGTTCATTGAAGTGTGATCGATTTAAAAGGGCTGGTTAAACTGTCTTAACCTCCGAGATAAGTTTGTAAAGAGGTGTATTTCGAGTCGAACGGGAGCATGAGGGTGAAATTTATACTTACTGCTGTTGAAAATGACGTTCATGGAGCAGTTATTGAAAACACCACGACGCGAGAACCCTCTCATGGCACTAGCAAATTGGGAATATCACCGATTTATGAATGTGTTGCTTGTGTTTGGATAATCGTTAACCAATTCGGACGATGCGGAATGGACTGGTGGGGGTTGAACCGAGTGCTCTGAAACTTGTCAACGTCAGGGTGTGTTTTATTTGGAATTTGGGATTTGTCGCGTGTGCTGTAATACTTTGCTTAGCTGGTGTTTCTTGTCACCTGAGATGGACCTACTGTATGACCTGATGCCAGCTTCATTACTGTGCCCCGTCACTCCTCAGAAGGTCGGCCAACTCAGGAACCGGAATAGTAGATTTCTAATTCTGTCTACGGATATTTTGTCGACTCCGATGACCAATCGATAAAACAGGTAGGCAAGTTTTTTTTTGTTTTTAAAATTTAAGTTTCTTTCCTTACCTTTTTATGTTTTATGGTTATTCAAAATCTTAGATTTTTCCCCCGATACGTTCGTAAATCGGATTTTAGTTAAATCGGGATTGATCTGGAGCTGTCGCGTCTGGTCTGTCAGCGGCCACATCTGAGCAGGGTACGACATTGTTTTCATTGGTGCTAGATTCCTGTCATTTCCGAAAACAAGGCATCAAAGCAATATCGCCCCATAAATCAATTTCTTTCACCTCAGTAATTTTACAGAATTAATTTTCTTCACTTGCGTTATTAGTATTGAAAGATAGCCATTCCATATCCAAATCATCGCAAGGACATTCCATTTTGTTTCATTTAGCAGCTAGACAACATCAATCACCAGAACCAAAGCATTTATTTATAAGTCAGATTAAATGTTACAAGACCAGGCAAAAAATATTAAATTATATTGCAGATAAATGCAGGTATTAAAAAAGAAATAGAAAAACGAGTTGATCGTAAACACCCGGAAAGTAGTTCCGGCACAGGTTCACACGATCAATTTCACACAAAAAAATTCACATCGTGTGAACTTTTTTTTGTCCGTTCACAGGTGTGATAACTCCAAATATCAGATCACGTGACTACCCCTTCAGCCAATCGGCATGAAAGAAACAGTGTAAACTTCAATGTATGAAATTATTTATATCCTAACTCTGGTATATTACCTATATATACGAAACGAATATTACATAGCCCTTGTGTACTTCATATACATTAACTCCGATATTTTACCTAATGAATCCCCGTGATATAAGAAACGAATATTATATGACCATTGTCCACTTACACATTAACTCTGATATTAACTCTGATAGTTTACGTTATGAATCCACGTGATATAAGAAAGGAATATTATATGGCCCTTGTGTACTTATACATTAACTCTGATATTAACTCTGATATTTAACCTAATGAATTCACGTGCTTTAAGAAACGAATATTATATTGCCATTGTGCACTTATATATTAACTTTAATATTTTACCTCATGAATAAACGTGAAATAAGAAACTTTCATTGTATAATATATGGCTTCTGTGCACTACAGAAGAGGATGAACTTTTCATAAGCATCTCTGAAATGTATCAGACAGTTGTATCGATGGTATGCAAGGGACAACATTTCTTCCAGTGTTTTTTGCATACCGCCCGCTTCTGTTTGCGTGCACCAGTAGATCGTTGTGGGTATGATTGACGTCTAGCCTTGTAGATTGCACTCCAGCCACCTTGACTAATTGTACATCTTGTCATTAGTAATTAACTGTCTTTTTTACGTTGCAATTTGTCACGAAATCAGCACCTTCAAATTAACGAAACATAACCTCTTGTCACCTTATGATAAACAGCCGCATTCTGTACTTGCTTCTGTCTTGATTGTATGTCAGTTCATAATGCTTAGAACGCCGTTACAGTTGTCGTACTGGCTGTGCGAAAAGTCATTCAGTGAAATATTTTGATTTTGCTTTTTATCCCATTTAGGAGACTTATTGCATTATCACCTCAAAAGGTATAGGTACAATAGCACTCATGTGTTAGAATGAGACTTGCAAATAACCCTGTTTTGGATAATCTTATAAAAACTGGTTAATCCGAAAAATAATAACACTTTGGATACATTCGTGTCAGAGGGCCACCAGTAACAGACTACTGACCCGTGAAGATCCGGGTTAGAATTAGTCTTCAGCAACCCACGCTTGTCGTAAGGGGCGACTAACGGGATCGGGTGGTCAGGCTCGCTGAATTGGTTGATGCATGTCATCATATCCCAATTGCGTAGATCGATCCTCTTGATGTCAATCACTGGGTTGTCTGGTCCAGACTCGATTATTTACAGCCGCCGTCATACAGCTGGATTGTTGCTGAGTGCGGCGTTACACAACAAACAAACAAAACAAGAGTAACAAAAGAAATTGAGCAAGACCCTCTAGAAAAATCATTATGGAATCGAAGTTATCAGATGTGTTCAGGTAAGAATGAGAAATAGATTGTCTTCCATGATGAACACTTGCATGTTTTGGACAGGAAAATAATGTGTTAATATACATATTGCAGAAGTTGTCAGGATACGTTTTTCTAATATTTTGTCATGAGCCAGTTTTGATCAAATCTGGTGTTTGAGTTCACAAAAAGAAAACTTTTAAAAGTTCACATTGCCTCCTACTTGTATATATACTTGCCTACTACACTCTGTAAATCACTTGCTTGATAACGGTGTTAGAACCTACACCGAAACGTCGCTCTTAATTGTAATAAAGAAGTTGTTCATCCATAAATTCTATCCTTACTTAGTACTCCAACTTCTAAATGCCTATCAAAGAAGTTTTAAAAGCCATTAAAATACGCCTGTGATCAACAGAGATGAAGGGTATTACATCCCGTCTGCCTATGAAGATGTAATCAAGCAATAGACTCTCTGTACTTAGTACCCCATCAGCCAGTTTCAACTTTTTAATCCTTATCTGGATACATTACCTTCGTGCTATTTGTTATTCTTAGTGTACATCTACATTATCCAACCATTTGTGTGCTACTTTCCCTGTTGTTTATGTTAATCTGCTGCTTATCACAACATATCATGTATACCCTCTTCATTTGGTTGCAGTCACTCCAGTTTGATAACGGTGAAAGAATCTACATCGACACGTCACTATATGCAATAAACCTGAAGTTGGTATCCGAAGATGTTTTCTTTGACATCCTACATTGTTGTTATACAATGTAGGAAGTCATTTTCTTCCATGACAACAGAACCCGCAATGCTGTGTTGTGAAAATGGAATTAAGTTTAATTACTGCAATTTAAACAGATTATTAAACAGTACTTCAGATGTTATTCAGGGGGTATCAATTTAAAGTTGGGGAAAAGACTTATGTGGGTAGTGAGTGAGTTGGTTTAACTCTGTTTTAGGCACTATTCCTGTTATATCACTGCGTCAGCTTGATGTGGAAGAAAATCCCGAAGTGATACAGGTCTTAGACGTTTACCACTTGGTGAAAACCATGAGCACGGGTATGGACAAATCTAGAAACATGATCGGGGCGAACCAGGATTCGAACCCATGATAATAGGTTTCTAGCGTGCCCAAGGGACGCAATTCTGCACAAGGAATTGCGGCGTGCCCTCTTATGTGATATAGGTCGTAGGCGTGTACATGTTTGTGAAAGCTTTGAGAAGGGTATTATGTTGACGAACCAATCGTGATTGAGGCAACCATAAGTACGAAAGAACGATCGCGAGATGAGAGGATCCAGGTAACGCATTAACGATCCAGTATTGTCAATCAAATTAAAATCAGATCTTAGTTCTCGCTACCGCTAAACAAAAGATCTGAGGACATCCCATATAGAGTAACGTCAGAATGACCTTTCATCCGACAAATCAGAGCGTCGCTTTCCAGGTAAAGTAGGAATTCGTTTTCTAATCATGCAACCTCGAAAAGGTTAACACGGGGTATTCCGAACGACAGATACGGCTTGTACGCCTGATTCCGTCAAAATCATGGTCTATCTCTCGCTTCAGTGAAATAAACATTTGAACGGAAGACACTTTGCATAGCAAGTGTGAAGTTTATATACCATATAGTAGACATTTCACAATTTTTCAAGTGTAGTCTGAAATGGAAGTCGCCAGTTTGAACCAAGTTCCGTAAAGCTCGAGAAAACCGCTTTCTGATTGGCTAATGTCGAATTCTTGTTGGTCATTTCACTGGTCGGTCAAAGTTCGCGATAGGTCGTTCTGACGTGACCCGTAATGGGATGTCCTCAGATCTTTGTTTAGCGGTAGTGAGAAACAAAGATCAGATTTTAACGAGATTGCAGTTTTGTTGACACTAGAATGGACAAGTCACTGTGTAAGGCAGATCTTAAGATGTACATCGAGAATATATGGATTCATGTGTTATTAATATTATGTGTTGGTGTTATTGTTAATGTGTGCGTGTGCGTGTGTGTGTGCGTGCGCGCGTTTGTAACAGTGCGTTCCATCTCATGTTCAATATCCAAAATTGGGTGGCATATTTCCAGGTTAGAAGTAATGCTTTCGTATATTTTCTTAGCATCTAATTAATTGTATGATTGTTTCAGAACAGAGACGCTGAAATGAACAGGGGCCCGTTCCACAAAGCGATCTTAGGTTACAACTGTAGTGTTGCAACAAGTCTCCGTTAAAGTGTGGGAGTTACGATCGTCTCAGCACTACGATCGCTTTGTTGAACGGACCCTCATCCTCTGTGTCTTGATCCGCCCTAAAAGTGTGAAAAAAGAACAGATGGCTGGTTTCAAGTATTGACTTATAATAAATCAAAGAGTAATCATTATACATTATATTAATGACATCTGTGTCTCGCTCACATGCATGTTAAATAGTTCACAGATCACAGAAGACGGAGATCCACGAAGAAAAACTCCACAGATTACTTTAAAGTCAATTTACAATTGAACATTTATACAATATATTCACACATGCTAAAGCATGCAGTCATAGTATATTAACACCTTTAGTATGTCTTGGGACCTTTGATATGGACAACATTTAATGAAATGTCTGTCAGTACATTTCAACAAGTATGATTTGATGCGTGATGACAGTGTCCGGTCATGCGCAGTACATACTGTGGTCTTCAGAACTCATTTTGTCATGATTGTCACGTTGACAAAAACAGTTTTTTCTTCGTTTAAACTCCTTAAACAGAAGGCACTGCCGTTCATGCGAGCACTATATTGCACAAATTATAATGGAAGTACTCCAAGCAATTTAATGACAGTGTCTGTCTTAAGATGAAGGTGGAGAATCGTGTGTGATGATGCAACAATCTGGTCAATGAATACGAAACTAACAATACTGACTCCATTAATACACATGTAAAGCTAGCAGCAGTAGACGTTTCGAATGTGTTACATTGTCAGAATCCATCATTCTGTAGCTGAAGAGGGCGCTATATTTCTCAGCGATAGTCCTATCCAAACGTGGTATCCATGGTAACCACGCGCATTTATATTTTCACGTCGTCTGCTCCGCAGGTGAATCGTCTGCTTGGTCCTCCTCCATTGGGTCCTCACTCGATTTTGAAGGACTATTAACAGGAGAGTGTTCAGGGCTCGATGATGTCTGGTGATCCCGTCGATGGCACCTTGAATGCATGTCTAACTTGTTCAGTCCGTTTGTTTGAGATTTGATATATTCAAGTTCTGTTATTGTGGGGTTAAGTTTACCTAATATGGTCACTTTCTTCGCCGCTGTTACATCGTTTTTTAATTCTTCCAAATCACGTTTGAGCTTAGCTCGTCTGTTTTGAAACCACGTGATAACCTGAGCGTTCGTAAGTCCTAAGGATTGAGCGATTTCATCTCTGTCCGCCGGTGTAAGATACTTTTGATACAGAAAACGCTTTTCAAGTTCATATATTTGTTGATTCGTAAAAGCAGTACGAGATTTTCGGCGCTTTTTCGGGGGTTGGTGTTTTCCAAATAACGCCGCCTGCTCTCTCCGTTTGGCATCTGAAAAAGTGAAATTTAGAGTTAGATTTTTTTTTTTAAAAATATTTTGATAAGTGACTGTGAATTGACATGGTCATTGTCAATAATTCAGAAATATCATGGCGGGGAACACCAGTGGTAACTACAGCTCCTAAAAACCCATATTTGGACTCGAACTCGGGTCTTCGGCACAACAGGCAAAAATTCGACCACCATGTTCACAAACTATTATTAAGTTAATGCCGATGATCAAGATGAAGTCATATCAGTTTAACAAACGCATGTGCATCATTATGCGTTATTGTGTTCAGACAGCATTAGTTACCTCAAGTGATTACTAAGACAGCGAATTATGCCTTCTCCTTAATTACATTTAAACTGCTTAAAATTGTCTATGACAAATACCTATTTCATATACCAAGTTTCATTGATAAATTTCAAGGAGCAAAATTGACAGACTTAAACAGGAAATAACACCAATTTTTAGACATCTCTAATTAGCGACTACCGTATCACTACGTTACAGCCAAACAATCTGGGCATTTTAATTAATCTTATAGACCGGTACTTGATACCGTAACATTGTATCTTCAGGCACGCGTAAACAGAAGCTACGCTGAGTGGTGTAATTAGCCGTGGATGGGGCAGAGACAAGGGAATATAACCAAATATTAAAGGCTTCAATTTTCATGACTGATACGTCCGTATTATTAAGGAACCTGCTGTTAACGCGAATAGCGGCGACACCTTAAACCTATCTTGATTAAGAAAGTTTATTTCTCCAGAGATGCGCGCGCATTTAGACAGCTGCCCGTTAGGGGACGCTTCGTGAGCAGCGAAAATTGTCTTACCACTACTAATTAGAGCTTTTAGTTTCTACACCCTATACTTGTCTGGCAATAGTGTTAATTAATTCCTCCTGAAATGACATGGGTTTATCCCCCAGCATCTGTCTGAGGAAACCAATACCCCTGGTATCCCCAGGGACTTGTGTTATTATGCAAATGGGATTCTTTATTTTGGGGTTGACCGGTTTAACTTGCTCGGTGAAAAATTAACACGAAATCGGACGTGTCACAACAAAGAATTGTTTCCGCATGTCGATTGGTACGGGGCTAAAAAATAAACATTTATTTTAGATTTTTTAAACATTCACCTCGGATCGTGTAATACAGTGTCATTAGGAACGTATCATTTTTTGTCAAGATGGACGATAGTTGCACACTTCCGGTATGAATCTGTCATTTGATAATGTAATAAAAATAGTGCACCAACTGTCGCAACACAGGATAGATAAATAATTTAAAAGGCCCGGTTGTCATTTAGAACGCAATTCCATCAATTTAAATCATTCGAGGTGAGGTTGTTTCTTTCAAGATCAAAACTACTCCCCTTACCAAAAACGCTCATTCTGGAAAATCATTTCAAGAGATCACGTGACAATATAGCTAAGTGTGAACTATCTGTATACGACTATTTCGTTTGACTTTTATGCGCAAGACAGGCAGGCATGCGCAGTAAATATGCGAAACCAATGGTTCGGGCGGTAACATCAAAGGAAAGTAGACCGCCACAGGCAGTTGCTGTCAGAGTGACGCGGACGGCGAGAGTTTACGTAGCTGTACGAGATTTCGCAAAGAAAGGATAGGTTTATGACCTTGTCTGAGGGGAGAGTGTCCGTACACGAGCCCCGAGGATGTTTAAAGATCTACGCCCGCTGTTGTTGTCACATGGCTCTGTTTTTTTAAAAGTACACCTCCTTTTCGCTATGATATTTCCATGTTAACATTGCTGACCTCTTCAACGCATACTGACTGACTTTTTGTTTCAAAACATGAATATCACACTGCCTTGTAAAAACAATTGACATTGTGTGTTTCAAACAATAAACAACACAACTGCAATACCAAGAACATTTATAAATGATGACTAATGATAATTGGCTTTACCGTAATCCATGCGCACAAACTAATCGCTAGATCATAGTTATATTAATCCAATGATTAATTAAACAACACACCACTAAAAAGCAACAACGCAAACATCTGCAACAGTGGAATACAAAAAATCCTTTGTTAAATTATCTTAATAAAAATAATAAAAAGGAGCCAGGATACTTTCTTCTGTTGTAATTTAGATTTGCCCACTACTATAGACTTGCATTTGATGTATTTGTTTCAGGGTCTGTATGAAAGATTACAATGGTGGAACAATATGGTAAAACTACACCCAATTCCAGACAGCACCAACAGAAGCCAACAATCTGATCCTGCAACTGAAGTTCTCTTGATCCCACAATTTGAATTAGAAAATTATCTGACGTCCCTACCCCTAAATAAAGCTATCCCTCTACTTTTATTTCGTACTTCATGCCACCACTTACCAATTGAAAAAGGAAGATGGAATAGGATACCTTTTTGTGAAAGAAAATGTAAACTGTGTTTTATTGATGATATTGGAGATGAATTTCACTATATTTTTAAATGTCCATATTTTACTAAAGAAAGAATTTTGTATATCCCACCTACATATTCTAAAAGACCTAATATGATTAAATTTCAAAGACTTTTCACTTGTAAAGAGATATCTGTATTAAAAAACCTTAGTAAATTCTGTAAATATGTAATGCAAATTGTAAAATCTTCCGGCTAACCACATATCCGCTATTATAATGTGTATTTTGCTGTCATTTTGTACCTCATATGCCGAGGATCTCGGCCTGAGCGTAATAAAGTTCTGTTCTGTTCTGTTCTGTTCCTTGTGTCAAATCCTCGTCCCATAAAACTGGGAGTCGCGTGGTCACAATATGCTCCCTAGCTCTCTGTACGCCATCCCCAGATTGAATCAAACCAAAAGTAGGTTTAATCTGATTACATTAATTTATTGGTGTGTTTGCGGTTATGTGATACCTTTAATGATATACAGAGCGATTGCAGTAACGTTGAATGATAGATGCTGAATGTTTTATATGGTTTTGATGTGCATCTGTTACCGGGATGCATGAAAACTGATCCTACATGTATGCAAATGATGCGCAAAAGAAGTTAAAATGCACCGTGTGTTATTGAGCCTCGTCATGCTGATCATTCATAACAGGGATAAACCTCTGGCAGGGATTGTTTACGTGAAGCGAAACATCGAAGATTATTCAGATGATGGTACAAGTTAATCGCCCGTTAACTGACGCATCAAGGGCGTTATTGAAGCGTCTGGCCAAGAACTGATTCAGGTAGATTGATATACCTCAAGACAATCACGATTTATGAATATTTATAACAATATGGTTTATCATTTTATGAATATGCTATAATGAGCATGAACTAGCATTGTATGAACCATAATGTCCATGATCTAGCATTGTATGAACTATAATGAACATGGACTATCATTGTATGAACTATAATGTCCATGAACTATCGTGTGAACTATAATGAACATTGACTATCATTGTACGAACTATTATGTCCATGAACTATCGTGTGAACTATAATGAGCCCCAACTAGCATTGTACGAACTATAATGTCCACAAACTAGCATTGTATAAACTATAATGAGCATGAACTATCATTGTATGAACTATAATGAGCTTAAACTATCATTGTATGAACAATCATTGACTAGTGAAAGTATCTGTGTGAACTCTCCTTGAAATGTGCTCGAATATATTATGTGTAGTTCTGAGGGATGGGGCCTTTAAATACTCGAGATATTGTATGTTTCATTCATGTAAAGCCCCTGAAAATTATAGCATGGCTTTGGTCGTTATAGCACCAAAGGAAGATAATTTAAGACGCCAGAGTGAGGAAGATTGCGGGCGGCTCACGAAGGCTCCGAGTGGATTGCCTCAGTACAAAGAGACTAGTCCGGTCACGCCCCCTTGACCTTTAATGTGTCAAAGGTCACGCAATTAACAGCTTGGCAAAGCATTAAACGACATAACAAGGGCAACGTACAGTGTTTTATTAAAAGAAGGATTTGTTGATGGTATGTCTTGATTTGAAACTTACAAGATAAGGCTGAGAAGCAGATTGGTCCATTTGGAAAACCCGGGGATTAGACAATGATGCGAAGGTCAACCTGACTAATAGTTGGAGTGAAGTTGTACTGCAGCTTATACTACATAAGTCTATTTAAGACAAATAAAACTATTCTATAATAATACGTCATTACCTTTGGGGTATTCGTTAATACCTCAGAGGTATCCATGTTCGTATCTTGGTCACTGACTCCAAGGAGAAACTGAAGCGATAAAATTACTACTCGAACGCCTTTAAGGTGCCAAACAGCATGAGTGAGTGAGTTAGGTTTAACGCCGCTTTGAAACAATAGTTCAATTATATCACGGCATGTCAGCTTAATGTGGGAGGAAAGCCCGAAGTGGTGCAGGTCTCAGCCGTTTACCACTTTGGTGAAACCCACGAGCAAGGGCATGGTGTTGACAAACCTAGAAACGTAATCGTTGAACTATTGTTCCGTCAAGCGTATGACATCAACAGCAGTATACGGATCATTTAATGAAATCCGGTCGTTCGTGGGATCAAAACCTGAGAGGTGAAGCATGGGACAAAATATTGATCCAAATTTTGACCCTACACCTACTGTATAGCTACAGTGATGACACCAGGTGTTCGCGAAACTGTGTCCTGTCCTATATCAATATGGTGTTCCTGTGTGGATATAGAGCCAAGTACCAGTTTCCGTCATGAAAAAATGGGGAACAATTCATATGATAAAACCTCGAAGAACATCTTTTCACGTTATGCGCATTCATAATATGATCTTTCTTGTCAGAACTCGGTAAACCAGCTTGTCCTGGCCTATGAAGGAAATATGGAAGCGAAAGAAACAGACTAATTTCAGACAAAATGTCCCCCACAAATACACACCAGACAAAATGCCTCCCGATGATTGATAGGGGACATAGCTGGAGAGAGAAAGAACGAGGACACTTTAATAGTGAAATCCTTTGATACAGTTAATTCGTCAAGAAAAATGAGCGATTTGGAAGGACGTTTGTTAG